GCCCAGAGACGCACTGAGACTCCCTCAAAGTCAACTACAAGTTGCAGTTTCAAACGAGCACCCAGGTTTCATGACTCCTCAGCTAAGAGTTCTCAGCAAGGGCTGAGATGCATGTGAGAATCTCCAGAAAAGTGTTTCCAGCATTTGGGATATCTATCCTGTGTGTAAAATGCCACTCCCTTTGATAGCTTTGGCCGTCGAAACCTTCTGAATCTTAACCTGATTTTGTGCCCAGCATATTGTGTTAACCACAGAGAGCCACAAAAAGAGCTCCTACCCTCCTGATGCCTAATATATATACACAGATGTATTATATATGTGTATATATGTGTGTGTATATAATATATATGTGTGTATATATGTGTGTGTATATATATGTGTGTATATATGTGTGTGTATATATAATATATATGTGTGTGTTTATATGTGTGTATATAATATATATGTGTATATATGTGTGTATATATATGTGTATATATATGTGTGTATATATGTGTGTGTATATATAATGTATATGTGTGTATAATATATATGTGTATATATGTGTGTATATATAATATATATGTATATATGTGTGTACATATATGTGTATATATATGTGTGTATATATAATATATATGTGTGTATATATAATATATATGTGTGTATATATGTGTGTATATATATGTATATATGTGTGTACATATATGTGTATATATGTGTATATATAATATATGTGTGTGTATATATGTGTGTATATATAATATATATGTATATATGTGTGTACATATATGTGTATATATGTGTATATATAATATATATGTGTGTATATATGTGTGTATATATGTGTGTATATATGTGTGATTTATATATATAATATATGTGTGTTATATATATAATTATATGTGGTATATATTGTGTGTTATTTTATATATATATATATTTTAAAGAACAGCGTTTCGCTACTGTCGCCCAGGGCCTGGAGTGCAGTGGTGTGATCTCGGCTCACTGCAAGCTCCGCCTCCTGGGTTCACGCCATTCTCCTGCCTCAGTCTCCCAAGTAGCTGGGACTACAGGCACCTGCCACCACGCTGGGGCTAATTTTTTGTATTTTTAGTAGAGACGTGTTTCACCGTGTTAGCCAGGATGGTCTCGATTCTCTGGACCTCATGATCCACCTGCCTTGGCCCTCCAAAGTGCTGGGATTACACAGGTGATGAGCCACTGTGCCCAGCCCTGGTGCCTTATATTTAAGGACAGATAAACATATTCTACATTAAAATATGATGAAGGATATACTAAGAATCTGGTGCATCTTACAACAGGAACACTGTCCCATGTTGGAGATTTTTTTTTTTTTTTTGAGACGAAGTCTTGCTCTGTTGCCCAGGCTGGAGTGCAATGGTGCAATCTGGGCTCAGTGCAATATCCACCTCCTGGGTTCAAGCAATTCTTGTGCCTCAGCCTCCCAAGTGGATGGGATTACAGGCATGCTCCATCACACCTAGCTCATTTTTGTATTTTTTGTAGAGACGGGGTTTCGCCATGTTGTCCAGGCTGGTCTAGAACTCCTGACCTCAAGTGATCCCCCTCCTCGGCCTCCCAAAGTGCTGCAATTACAGGCATGAGCCACCGCGCCCGGCCAGAGCTTCTTAATGTATATTTGTAGAATGAATAAATAAGTGAATCAATGAAATAAAAGTTAAGAGAGGAAGAGATGACTCTATCTGGGGCCATCAGGAAGGCTTCTAATCATCATTGAGATTGGACAGTTTAAAGCACAGCCACTCTCAATGTGTGTAAAATGCCTTGTAATCTTTTATTCCTCTTGTTATAGCTATTTTACTTCCAGGAATTTATCCCTACGGACTTGTCAGAGAGGTTAAAAAAAAAAAAAAGATTTATATTCAATATGTGTTGATTTGTGTTCAACGGTGTAACTGATAATCGTGAAAAAGTGAAGCAATCTTACTGGTTCAAGAGCGGGGAACAGTAGCCGTGCGTAGACGAGCGTCGGTCGGTCTGCATGATGGAGTATTCTGCAGACGTTAAAAGTCATGTTGTCAGAGCACATGTGCCAATTGGGGAAATAAATATACATGGTAGGATTATTAAAGAGGAAAAGGGTTCCAAAAGGACCATATCCACGATAATCCAAAATTTGTAAAAGCGCACGCACCTGTGTGTGTGTGTGTCTGTGTGTGTGTGTGTGTGTCTGTGTGTCTGTGTGTGTGTGTGTGTCTGTGTGTGTGTGTGTGTCTCTGTGTGCGTATGTGTGTCTCTATTAAATAATAGTGGTTCTCTCTGCAGTGAGATGAAGGTGATTTTTTATTTTCAATTCCCGTATTTTCAAAGTGCAGTTTAAAAAGCAGCAGACTTTCTCCCACTGGGCCTTCAGGGACTTTGCGGGTTTGTAGATCTTTGTGGTCTATAAAGGCCTTTATTCTGAGTTTTTCTTCTGAGCACACGAAAGGTGTGTGATATACATCTGCACCCCAGCACCTGCTGGAGAGCGGAGAGCACAGAGGATGGGCTGAGCGGGGGCAACGTAATAATTTTAAAATGAGAAACAAAGGACATGCTGCTTACCCTGCATGCAGGTGGACCCCAAAGTAGCTTCCTCAGGTAGCAGCGGGGTGGCCGCCCAGGGGACAGTCCCCTCCTCCTCAGCCTCCTCAGCTGGCTGGATGCTCACAGCGCGCCCTTCCTGAGCTCTTGGCAAATGCACGTGTGGAACAGCCTGCTGCGGGAAGAAGCTGGAAGCCTCGGGGGTGTAGGGGAGTGAGGGGGGGCTGGACTTCCACAGGAGAAATAAAGTGACTTGCAAGCAACACTGGCTGTCCCCGTTCCCTCCCTGACTTACTGCCCTCTCAGCCTCCTGCTTACGGGGACTCTTCTGGAGGTGAGGCCTCGCTAAGGGCCCAAATTCTAGGAAAAGGGGCCCCTGAGGAGGGTTCCCCCTGCATGGAGGGAGCACGTTTGCATGTTTGCAGCAGCATTTCTGTGTGCCGGCCCGGCTCCCCAACCTCACGGAGTCCTGGAAGCCTGGAAACGGTTTCATTCACTGCAGCCAGCACAGTGTCTGGGGCAGTGCGAGTGCTGCTCAGTGAGGGTTTGTTCAGCGATTGTTTTGTACATGTTGAGAAGGAATCCACGAGCTCGAACGTGACTCTTTTTCATCTCTTAGAAACGTGCTTTAGGAGGCCTGAAAGCCAAGGCTGAGCCATGGCTGTGGCGGTCACGGTTGTGTGTGTAATAGGCCCAGGGCGTGGGTCTGGCCTTGTGCTCCTTCTGCACTGGGAATTAGGGATTAATCCCAGCAGGCGTTTGCAAATGCAGACCTTTGGTCCTCTTGTCAGGGAGTCTGAAATGTCGCAGACCCCTGCCCAGGTTTTTGTTGTTGTCTCTTCTCCCAAATGTGATTAATTGATCGATTCATTCATTCAGCTAATATTGGTTGAGCACCCACTATGTTCCAGGTTCTGTTCTAGCTGCTGGGGTTACAGAACAAGAAACATTCATGGGTGTTAGGAGCACTGCAGCCACTGTCGGGTCAATGCATTTACACTCCAAGTGCTCTATAGATTTGTAAGGGTTTTCTAGAAACACCACCTTCGGCTAGAAAAATAAGCAGAAGCGTCGGACACTGCAGAGGTTCTGTACAGATGCGGAGGCATTTTCTCCATCCCGGTGCAGGGATAGCCTGATCTGCCATTGCTGGACAGTGACATTGCCTTGTTTTGTTTTTTTATGACCTTCTAGTCTCAGGGGCGTCTGGCCAAGTGCACCATGGTGCCAAGGTAGGCAGAATGGCCACTGTCCTCCCTGAGACAAAGAGACAGGATCAAAAAGGATGGAAAGAATAAAAGAAAGAACAATTTGGATAGTTTAATGGTTTGAGAGACAGATATACCTAAGAATTGTATATTTGGATAGTTTTTTCCCCTAATGAGAAGTTACTTCTGATGACCACACAATGCACATCCTTCCCAGAGATGAGAGGCTCTGATGTGAACTGGGGACAAGATGTATTATAGGCTGTGACAGGCCAGCAGAGCACTGAGAGTCTTCAATTGGGTGGAGTGAGGGCATTAGAAACAGTTCTATAACAGATGCTGCCTTTCTATTCTCTTCTCCAAGGGGATGATCAGTTTGGCAGCGCCTCCACCTGCTCTTCTAGCTGAAGGTATTATGTGTTTAGAAAATCCTCGCAGCTTCTGCTCGGTCGACCCAAAGGGAGCCCAAGAAGGTCTTGTCTAGGATCTGGGGAGAAGAAAAGCAGGGAGCCTGGGAGATGTGTGTGTCCAGGCAAGCGTGGCGCAGTAGGAGGCAGGGACTCAGAGAGGGATCTTGCCAGGAGTGAAAAGTACTTGCTCTGAGTGGCCACCCTGCCCTATCTCTTGGGGCTGTGGAGCACTCAGTTGATTGGATGAATGTGGCACCAGCATCTGGGAAAGTTCCTCATTGCTGTTCGGAGGGAAATGTCTGCAGTGGAGGGAGACTGTCCTCAAGGGAAGGGGCTACCCTAGGAGACCTTTTTCTAGTTCTGATCTGTTTTTGCTTTCTTGCCTGAATGTGCCCAGTTACAACTGAAACCAAGCACCAGTGTAGCAGCAGCCCATGCATCCAGGCCCAAGCAATCTACAGTGACTGCAAATTCCCTTATTTTGTGTGAGCTCCAGAAACACTGGACTGAGGGAGGCCAACACAAAATATCCCATGGTCAACACAAGCTTCTCCACGCTTTTCCCAGCGTCCGACCCTCAGGCGTGCAGGACAAGTCCAGGGACTCTGGGACTTAGCTGACACCTCCACTCACTCCTGGCTGAGCTGCTCAACTTGTTGGGGGCCAGCTCCACAGGGCGACTAGACAGGCCTCATCCCATGAGGTCCTGAGAGGCCTGGGGGCTAGACTTGGGCCAACGTGGTGCTGCAGTGAGGGGCACCCAGACCTAACTCTTGAATTGCTTTCCCCCGAGGTATAGAAGCAGAAACTGGATAGAGGAATTCACGACTCTGGGTAGAATAAAAGTGAACATTTAATGCCACCATAGTTTGATTTTAACACCAGATTCTTTTTTGACAACATTTTACACCTCATATGCCACAGAAAGTCAGAGATCGTAGCCAGCAAACAATGTCTTTACACTGGAAAATGCCACACAGCTTAATGGACTCATGTCACCAGTTTGTGAGAACTAACTCTTTTTTCTGGACTGTTCTCCAGGGAGCCTGCTCATATTTATCATAATCAAGCCAACACCTAACGTTTATATAGCTTGCAAAGGCCCATGCACAAAACCAGCCTGCCAAGGGGCTGCTGGGACCTGCCCAAGTACAGAAGAGTTGAATTTCTGACTATAACAAATGAGTTTTATTAAAGAATTTTAACAGCACACACTTGTGAACTAATAATGTTTTAAATGGCACCAGTCTTCCATCCGGTTAAACAGTGGATTTCAGACAATAACATTAAGCACTACCATTGAATTGTAAAATAAGATTTTATGAACTTATTTAGGAATTCGCTGTTTCTGGCACGATAAATGCACCTGGGCAGGCCTCGCCTCCACGTTTCAAACAGGCCCGTTTCTACAGATAAGCATATTTATATATACATACATACATTACTAATCATGGAATTCGAGATCCAGAGCTTGAAGGAACCACAAAGGTCATCCAGCACAATGTCTTGCTTTTACAGGTTAGAAAACTGAGTTCCAGAGGAGTTAGGAAGTATATCCCGGACAGGACGACTGGCAAAGCTGGATGAGAACTCAGGTTTGCTGTCCTATGGCCTTTTCACCACGTCAGGTATCTCCTGTACACACACATCCGTGTATGTACACACACATCCGTGTATGTACACACACATCCGTGTATGTACACACACATCCGTGTATGTACACACACCTTAGAGGAATGATATCTGTTCATGTCCACGTATGCCTGGTGCGATATGATCTAATGGGAAGAATCCAACAAGCTGGACTCAAGTCCCCGTTTTGCTATAAAACCACTCTGTGAACTCGGGCCAATCAATGACTAGACTTCAGTTTATTCATCGGTAAATGATTACCCCCAGCTCCTACACAGAGCTTTAAAGTCGTCGAAGCACTTCCCATCACTTATACCACTTTCTCTTTATGCTCTCCCAGGAGGGCAGCTGTTCTCACCCCTGGTCTTCCACTCGGGAACCTGAGGCCCAGCAAAGTGAAGAGGCTCGCCCAAGGTTGCATAGCTAGTAACACAACCAAGCTGCCGGCCCAGTGTCCTTGCTCCTAGCTCAAGGCCTTTGCTCCTAGGTTTAGCTACCTCTCAAATGAGATTACTGACCCTAGCCCCTCCCTGCCTCTTGGGGATCCAGTGAGGGGACAAAATGCCTCAAGGTTGTAAGACTCACTAAAGTGCTTTGGTTTTTCCAGAGGAAAAACAAAAAACCAGAAGAAAAACAGGTACTCTATATATCCAAGCTAAGGAACTCTGGCTGCTTTCCCAAACCCCCTTCGGTAGCACCAGGGGCTGGATGGGAGTCTTAGGGAAATGTAGGGAACTAAAAATGTCAGAACTTTCCTCAGAAATTTCATGTCGAACGAGTGGGAAGAGGCTGGATCCTCTCCCATGCAAGCCGGTGGACGTGGATTTCCAAGCCCACTCTCATCAAATTCAAAATGAAGGGGTCTTTCCCATTTGGCTACTTACTACACAAACAGCTTAGATTTTGAACTAAGCCCTGTGCATTGAGGATTGGATCCTAATCCCTATCCTCTTGATTTATCTGTCCTCCCCCCATCCCCCAGCGCATGTCTCCACTAACAGACTTTGCTTGAGTGAGAAAAACATGGAAAAAAAATAGCCACAGACAGATCCAGCAAACCTCCACCTCGATGCACGGCACGTGGATAACATTTCCAACCGCGACGCATACGTAAATGAGAGAACACACGCAACGCTGTAAAACAACATCCTGAGTTCACAAATAAATTTTAACTTCTTCATAAATCAACTATGACAGTGTGGGCTGTTAGCAGGATAGGGAATGAAAGAAGGAAGCTTCTTTAGTGTTGAAGGTAATTTCTATGTATGCATGGAATAGATGTGTGAGTGTGGTGCTTCAGTACTCGCCTCCACACGTGGGGACCTTGGGAGCAGCTGTGTTTAGAGAATAAGAATTGTATGCAATGAGGGCTGGATACTGCCCCAAGCCCCACTGTGTCCAGTGTTAGGACGTTGCTGCAGCTTCCGGCCACCCAAAAGCAGAATGTGTTTGTTTAGGGAGGGATAAATTAGTTTCTAGGATTTTTCAGAAAAACATTTTTCTCAGAAGATGAGCTTAAATGACAATAGCTTCTCCTGGATTAGAATTATGCTTGCATTGTGATGGAAATAATGAACAGCCTGTAATTGTAAAATGTGTCATTTTGTCAGGAAGATTGCTAAGCGATGCACTCTATGAGCTGTTACCCACCAATGTTGACAGATACTTTCTGGAGGTGGAAAAAGAGATATTAGAATCCAAAGAAACACTATGTCTACCGCCTGCCCCCCAGCCCCCCCAAAATCTGAGACCCATTTACTTGCATCAGTGGCACTGAACACCCAGCTTGGTTTCATTTGGTGCAGAGAAAAGTGGGCTGTGTGCCTTTCCTCCCCGCCCAGACTCCCGTGTGGTGGCACTGAAGAGTGTCCTCCAGTGGGGGCACAGCTGGGCCACACACCCCGGTGGCAGCATGGAGGCCCCAGGGACGGCGGCAGCAGACGGCTTAGCCTCAGCTAATAGCCAACAGGACTTTCAACCTCTTTCTCACTGGCAAGGTTTCAGGGTTTAAGACGTATTGTCTTTAGAAGCGAGGGACTCTGTGTGTGCTCCAAGAGCGGGTTACTAGTCCAGCAGGAAAGAACAATGAGTAAAGGCAGGACTCCTTTGTTTTTAGTCTGGAAATTGACTCATCTTTAGTCATTTTACAGTCTAAAAGCCTTTTTGGAATAAGAAACCTAAAAAACCTAGAAACACTCAATATAATCAGCAGTGGCCAATGATATAGGCGGCTGTGTTTGCACTGAACAAATTCGCAGACTTGCCAGCCTTGCCTTCGATCCAAAGAAGGTAGCTGGTTTGCAAGGACATGAGATGCACACCCAAGTGAGCACAACTGCATTTTTTGTCAATACAAACAGAACTCTGAGATTTTGTCAGAAATCTGAGCAGCAAGCGTGAGACTTGTAGGTACGTATAAGACTTTTTGAACCTCCACTCTGGATGGTAGATGCGGCTGGACTGAAGCCGCTGCCGTCTTATAAGAATATAGTAGACTTCAAGTTTAAGGCTAATTTGTGACAAACCAGGCCAGATTCCTGCCTGCCGAATTCCCCACGCTGCGATGCCTGGCTTTTTATCGCAGCTTCTCATGCGGGAGCCCCTTCTCCGGCTCAGGGATTCCCACCTTCGTCAAGACGGACACGTCTCTGCATTGGCATCCGAATGCTCCCCCATGTGAAGAACGGCAACTGGCGAATAAACAGGCAGAGTGCTCTGATTTCCAATCCGGAAGAGATGAAAGAGACAACTTCCTCATGATGTAGAGGGGAATTCAAGGACAATAAGATCAAAGTTTGCAGCTCGCGGTGGGAACTGAAAGCCTGTCACGCCCTCGGCAGCAGGCAGCACCATCCTGCAGTGCGACACGGAGGGACAGCAGCGTCCTGCAGCGCGACACGGAGGGACTCCCAGGGAAACAATGGCACCGTTGCCTGTTTTCAGATCTTAGTTTTGCTCTGCTGCTAATGCTTCCGCCTCATACATTTGGAGCAGGGGGTGAGGAGGACAAGTTTTAGACAAGGAATTAAGACCTATGCATCTAAATGTGAATTTCAAATATTTTTTTTCTAGTCCTTTCGTTTGTGGGTCATGAAATAGAAATAGGTTCTTTGACATTTTGACATTTTCTCCGTGCCTCCTCGGGTTCTCTATCACGAAAACCGAGAGGCGACCTGGAACTATCTCACGTCTGGTCAGTCCGTGCCCGGGACTGCTTCAGAATGGTCAGCCAGAACTCCCTCCTTCATCATCAACATCGTCCGTTTATAGGCAGAGACAGGAACAAGCACATCATAATGTACAATGCCCGATTTCTTCACCTGGTTTATCAATATTGGTAAATTAACATGTTTGCAGCTTATTTAGGTCAAAAAAAAAAAAAAAGCAAAGAGAAGAGAGAGAGAATAGACAACATCAACATCAACATAAAGCATCCTCCTTCACCATGGCCTGCGGGATCCTGCGAGGTGTCCTGTGATGGGCATCTTGGGAAGCCAGTCTGACTTGGTAAGAGAACTCTTGGTTTTATTCAAGCTTCTGTTATAGCACAAAGTTGCTACAAATGGATAAATTCAGGCAGGAGGCAAGCCGAGTGCCACACGCCTCGGAAGGAGTCCATCGGTTTCAGTCCAGCAAGGGCACCAGGCTCTGTCACTGGCTAAAGGAAGGAGGCACAGCATGGAAGGAACCTCAGGGGAAGACGTGGCAGCGGCGAAAACCAAGCTCATTGATGACCCATCAGATGAGTTTGTTTCCAACAAAAACAGAATATTCACCTTTGAAAATCTCCAATTAAAGACTTTTCATGAACTACACATTTAAAACCAGCCACCAAAAGAGATTGCCCGATGGAAAACTCGAAGGATTGGCTTCCCTTTGGGTCCAGACGCTTCCAAGGATATTGCTGTTAAGCAAACTCACTCACACAAGTGCTGTGAGGCCAGAGGTGAGCCCAGAGCACGCGACTGTCCTGCAGAATGGGGTCAAGGCGCAGGAGCTTAGGGAGGTCCTGCTTTCCAGGGCAACAAACTTATCAGACTTGGGAGATACATAGAAGGGAGACTGAGCCATGCCAGAGCAGCCTCTCCCTGCAGTTGAGCCTGTTCAGCTGGCAGATGTGGGCATGTCTCCTGTTTGTACAGAAGCAGATTCTTAGGAAAAGTGCAAAGCCAGACTCGTGACCCAGGGAGCTGGCTTCCGTCAACAGGGCCACCTGAACCCTGTTCTGATAACAAAGGAGCAGATCATGTGAAGCTCACAAGACTTTGGTTCCCATTTACCAAGCTCAGCCAGCTGTGTGGGCTGCAGCGTCCAGAGGTACACTGAGCCAGAAATGTAGCGTCTTTTTCCCCCCTTGGGGAGTGGCTGGGGCTGAGTTGTTGGTTAATAAAGGCAGCCTAGCTTGGAAACAGGCTCATGAAGATATGCTGCATTTGAGGGCAAAAGGAAAGCGTACTCTGCAAATGCCTAAGCACTGTCCTTGATGTGAAGGCTGCAGGGACTCCTGGCTTCCGGGCTGTTCTATCAGCACCACAGCTTTGATCAGGCAAATCCCTTGACCACTCTGGACCTGGGGATTCTATCAATCACTAAAATGGGTGTAATTCCTAAGGGAATTGTTACAGGGCGGAACACCTAAATTTGAAGTCCTGAGTTGTTGGGAGCCAAAACCTGGACATCCATCTCTTCATCTATGTTCTGCCTCTCCAGGGTTGTGGGAGTTATGGAGGGGAAGCTCTGCCTTTGGGTAGGGGCAAAGATTGATATCCAGGGTTGTGGGAGTTATGGAGGGAAGCTCTGCCTTTGGGTAGGGGCAAAGATTGATATCCAGGGTTGTGGGAGTTATGGAGGGAAGCTCTGCCTTTGGGTAGGGGCAAAGACTGAGAGGACAAGCCCGTCCCTTCTTGGCATAGAGGCTTTGGGACGTAGGAGAGCTGAAATCCTTGGACTCTGGACAACAGACAAGATGTACCGTCTCAAGAACCCTTGTTCTTATCCAATACAGGTGAAGTCTCTGAACAAGCCTGAGGAAGTCTCTCAGCTGGGGAAAATCCTACTTTAGTCAATTCACAACACTAGAAAATACAGCTCTGGTGAATTGGTTCCAGCTTTCCTTCAAGTCTTTGGAATAAAAATGAATACGAATTTTGAGGGCCAGGCAAACTGTGGATTTGTGGGTCAAGGAACCGTATGTGTGTGAGGACTTGAGGGGGGCAAACTGTCTACAGAACACACAGCCCACCTCCCAGGAGCAGGGAGGACCCAGGTCGCAAAGGACTCCTCCCCGATGCTGGCCGTCCGGCTCCTCGCCTGTTCTCTAAAGCACCTGCCCCACAATCAACCTTCTGGGTCTGCCCTGACCACGCTGCTTGTTGGGATGTGGCATCGAGGTCACCTGCTGCTCCAAACCTACTTTGGAAACACACACACTGGCTCGTGCCGAGGAAGCCTCTCTGTTCTGTTTGAGTGGCCTCACCAGAATAACCATAAAAGACAGGTAACATTTATTCATAAGCAATACTGATTAGGAAATAGCTCTACAAACACAACTTACTTAGAAACAGCAAGTCAGAAATAGGATAAAACACCAAGAGAAAACGAGCTGTGAATACATTTCCAAAATGTTTTTGTTTTGTTGTTTTCATCTTGACTAGCACCATCTGTACACAAGAAAGTATGAACATAAATGTTTGGATAATAATAAAGGTTTGCAAGGCACTTAATCAGTCATTCTGGGTCTTTTTGTTGTTGTGTTCGCTTTCCACAGCAATCCTACATCCACCCCGCTCCTCTCTCACGAAAGCAAGAGAAGAGTGAGGTCTCTTTCGCTAGCAGTTCTTATGTACAAACAAGGTAAGGTTCCTCAAAGTGCTTTTTCAGTCTCGCAGGGCTGACACCCCTCGGGCTTCCCATCCTTTTCTCCTTCCATGGGTGTTTGGCGTTTGCGCCTTTCCTACAGAAAACAAAAGAAAACTCGCCTTCTGCTCAACGCTCGCTCCAGACTTGCCACCAACCTTCATCCTCATTCATTGTCTTTGATGCCCCGGCACAGAGGGCCTAGGGGCGTGCACCGTCTCTGAAGTCCTGGGGAGCGGGGAACCGCTAGGACAAGGGGCTGGCTCCTCTACCGGCGCCTGGAGGTGATGTCGAAGCAGGTGATCATCATGAGATGGGCCTTGCAGAAGTTGACACGGCTCTCCAGGCGCTCCGTCACACACTCCAGGGCCTCCAGGTACTCCAGGGAATCCAGCTCCCAAACCTGCTCCAAGTCAACTGCAAGAGAGGAAGAGCTTGATGGAGACACAGAGCAAACAGGGCGCGAAGCATCTCCCGACGGCTCAGCCTGGAGCTGCCACCCCCACATCTACCCCTTGCTCTAAAGGTCTAACTCGCCTGCCTTAGGCCACCGCAGGGTTCCCTCCTGCCCGATCCTCAGCCTCTTTTGGGTAGAACGGAACACTCTTTACCAGTGTTTAGATCCTTAACGTGTTTTTGAGATTCTACTGACCAACAAGGGGACATTCTCGCTTCCCCTACCTCCAGCCATCCCCATCGCAGGATTTGAGAGACTCTACCATGCTGTTCACTATCAAGTAAATACTTCAAGCTGAGGTGGGGAGAGTCCCTCCCTTCTGGGGGTCTCAGTTGAGTGACAGTTATACTTCTGCCCCCTTTTACGAAAGGATGTTTCTGCATTATAACCCAGATACCGTTCCTGATGTTCAGGCCTGCACAGAGTAAAAAGTCTGTATCCTTAAAGGCCTGAAGAACAAGTATCTGGAATTAACCCCTTCTGGCATCAAGTCCCCTACTTTGTCTAGAGGTGGCTGGGCAGAGGGATGGGCTGCCTGGCCCAGGCTCCAGGGGTCCAGCAGGCTCCCAGTACGAGGAGGAAAGGCATGGACAGCAGCCAAACCTGGAACCCCAGGCAAGAGACGAGCTCTGGGACCTCCACGTCGGCTGACACAGTGTCCTTAAAAAGAATGTGAGAGTAGTAATTCCTAACCTGCCTGCCCTGCCTGCCTTGAGTTGCTGTGAAGATAAAATGAGACAATGAACATGAACTTGATTTGAAAACGATGCCACACTGTGGAAACATCGGGGATTAGAGTTGACGTCTGCAGAGTGTCTTCTTTCTGCACATGAGGTCCCTGAGAGCTGGACAGTGACATGACTCACTGAGGCTGATGCAGTTAACCAGGACTAGAGCTGGAAGGAGACCGAAGGCCCTTCCAGAATACCAGTGTAATATTTAAAAACCAAAACCAAAAAGCAAAAGGAGCCATCATTCTATGACCACATCAGACTACATTGCTGGACAACCTTGAAAGTGGCATCAGAACGAAGAAATAGAACTAAAAATGGATCTTTCCATGCCAGTCCCCTGCCTTTTGCCCACAGGGAACAGTCAGCAGGCAGCCTCATTGATCCTTTTTTCCATTACTGTTTTCAATTCATCTTCAAGAAACAATCTGTGTTTCCCCTTTCATGTAGCTTTCTGTTCATTTTCTTTCTCCGCATCAAAAACACAGTGATTTTGACATATGTACAAAGACTAGAAGGAAGCGGTTGTTTCCTGGAAGCAGCTAAACACGTACGTATTAATGTTTCAGCTTGTTCCCATCCTGGGAAAAAACACAACTTTGTAAGATGAAGATAATTTTCAAGTCTGCCCTGGGCATAAACAGTTCTTAAAAATAAAATGTTAATGAAAATAGCAAAAATGAAGGAGAACTGACAGAGAACTGACTGAAAGGAGGCCCCTGGGATCTTTAAGTGGCCAGGGATTCCTGAAGCAAGGAAAAGGGTACGCGCAGCGGGGGGATAAGCACAGGGCCCCGTGTGCATGTCACGGGCAGACAGTAACCAACGCCCTCACCCCGTCTGCCCTCCCCATTAGTGCCTTCGATGAAATGCCCTCACAGGACGAGTTCATGTCTTTGCTCACATTTCTAACAGAAGATCCAGCTCAGTGCATCATGCAAGCAGGCATGAAGGAAATGCCTCCTGTTTTTATTTGTATTTTTGAGACAGGGTCTCACTCCGTCATCCAGGCTGGAGTGCAGTGATGCAATCTCAGCCTCCTGAGTAGCTGGGATTACAGGTGCCTGCCACCACACCCAGCTAATTTTTATATTTTTGGTAGAGATGGGGTTTCACACCACGTTGTCAAGGCTGGTCTTGAACTCCTGGGCTCAAGTCATCTGCCCACCTTGGCCTCCCAAAGTGCTGGGATTACAGGCGTGAGCCACCGCACCTGGCCAGGAAATGTCTCCTGTTGTTGAACTTTGGGATAATACTAATAATTACTACCAGATCCTGAGCTCTCATCCTGGGCCAAGCAGTGTAATAAGCACCAAGAGGACCAACAGGTACTGATTTACACCTCACAACTGCCCTGTGGTGTAGTCAGCGTTATTTTTCCCATTTTACAGCTAAGGAAGTCAAGGCTCAGAGTGAAGTGTCTTACCCGAGGTCCCACAGCTAGTCTGTGAGAGAGCCAGCAGCCAAAGCAGGTCTGTATGCCTGTGGCCACAGCTGCAAAGGCTGCAACTTACTATTACAGGATGCTCCATAGACTGTCCCAAGAATCCAGTGAGTCCTTAGGGAAATGTTAGCACCTTATTCCTAGGGAGAGGCAGCTGCCGGGAGACTGCGGTTACACGTGGCGGCACAGCCGGGAGGCCGACAAGTCCTGCCACTTTCTTCCGTAGCTTGACCCAGGACCATTTCACCCCAGTATCTTTTCAACCAGCTGCTTTGGAACATAAACCTAAGCTTCCAGCCTCTGCCTGCAGGCCCTCCGCACTGGCCAGGGAAGACCGGAAGAGGGTGGGGGCTGAGCAGGGGAGGGGCAGTACAAAGGAGGCCTGCCAGAGGCTGAGGGCAGGATGGGAAGGGGAGGCAGAGGGAACCTGAATGGCAGGAATGTATTTGACCCCACAGACTAAGTCTTCCAGCATTAGATCCTGTATCAGTGTAATAGCTGGGACCAGATTGAAGTTTTTTTTTGTGCTAAATGGAATGGTCAGGAACAAATAAATAAGAGACAATTGAATCCATCTTTCAAAGAGAGCAAAATTGTCCTGAATTGTTATTAGATGGTTACGGTCATCCTGGGCTATTAAATGGAAATAATCCTGTGGCTGTCGTTTTTTGTTTTTTGTTTTTTTTTCACTCAAAAATGTTTTCCTTGCTTTCTGGGTTCTCTGCGCAGCTTTTCTCGGACGGTACACTCTAGCCTATAAATTCTTGTCTATTTCAGGCTAGATATGCAGTGTGATTTGGGACCGAGGAGCAGATCTGTAACAGTCTTCATGTCTGGGTGATCTTCCGCCACAAGCAGGGGGGAAAATCTCATTTTCAGGTGTTTTGGACTGAGACACGTAAGAAATAATCTTGCAAGAGCAATATTCACCACCCCTCGCTGCCCCGGCCCTCCCGCCCGCCCCGGGGGAGTACGCTGCTCGCTGGGGGCAACTTCCTCCACGTGGTGGGCACCCTGACACCGAGGAGGTGGACGCAGCCTCTGTCGCTGGCTCCCCGGGCTACGCGCCAGGCCTGGTGAGCGAGGGAGCCCAGTCGTTGCGAGGGAGGGAAGGAACCCCGGCCTTACATTCACTGAGCCACTTGTTGGGATCCAGCATCAGGTACTGTTTGGTCGCCTCCAGCTCCTTCATCAGCCACTCGTACTTGGCGCGGACCTCGGCGATCCTCTGCTGGCGGTGTTCCAGAATTTTCAGCTTGGCGTTGAAGCACATGACCTCCTAGCACACAGACAGAGAGGAGAAAGGGCCCTTCTGCTCACGCCCAGCCCACGCCACAGGGAGCACCTGTGAGTATCGTTGATGGAAAACAGGCTGGGGATGGAGACGTGTGGGAGGGACCCAGGTGATCTCGGCCACATTTCTGCCTCGACAGACCAGTCAGTTCAGACACCTCACAAGGTGGGACTATGACAGGCCATTCTTAAATTGAGAAAGCAGGTGGTGGGTGTTTCAAGATGGACAAAGACTGGTTAAGACGGGGAGCCTCAAGGAGCCAGAAAAGCCCCCAAGATCATCAGCCCCCACCCCTGGCTTTGGAGCCTTTACAACATTTCAGCAAGAGAAACACGGGGCTCTCTCCACAGCCTCTGTCCAAAGGCCCTTTGCTGGGACAGAAGCCCCCTTCCCACCACCCGGGCCAGAAGCCGGCTGGGAAGCCTGGGTCTGGGCCGTCTTCCCCAGGGCCCTGCCTGGGCCCCCGTAAGGGTGGTGGGGGAGGCTGCCTCACCTTGCTGGCGCCCCCTCGTCGCCGCTGCAGGCGCTCCACGTCATCGATTTCATAGACTTTAATCTCAAAGGGTTCCCCAAGGCCCCTCTGGCTGCTCCGCAGGGGGCCGTCCACCCAGCGGACGCCTGTGCTGTTGGTGGGTTTTCTCACAGGGGAAGAGGTGTCCAGGGATAGTGCTGGGATAAGCCTCCGTCTCTGAGAACCTGAGGAGGGGATTAAGCCCAAAGAGTTAGTCTTTCTGAATTTCAATTTTTTTTTCTTTTTTTTTTGGAGATAGGGTCTTGCTCTGTTGCCCAGGCTGGAGTGCAGTGGTGCGATCGTAGCTCACTGCAGCCTTGAATTCCTGGACTCAAGCAATTGTCCTGTCTCAGCCTCCTAAGTAGTTGGGACCACAGGTGACACCACCACACCCAGCTTTTTTTTTTTTTTTTTTTTGGTAGAGGTGACATCTTGCCATAATGCCCAGGCTGGTCTCGAACTCCTGGCCTCAAGTGATCCTCCCCACCTTAGTCTCCCAAAGTGCTGGGATTACTGGTGTGAGCCACTACACCCAGCCTGAATTCAATCTTTTAAATATTTTGTGGATGTAACAGATGAGGTCATGACAAGCACCCCAGGATCTGAGGCAGGGCTAAACACTCCCACTTCCCACCACCCACCTCTACCTTTCCTCCCCTAAGCTGACACTTGGGCTTTAGCTCAGCCAACTCCCGGGGGGATCTTTAGAACTGCCTCCTAGTTTCCACCTGTGAAACATGCAGCTTAGACCTGTGAGCCGCACTGGCACATCCTCAGCATGGATGGGTCAAAAGGTCCGAGCGTTTGATGTCATTACAGGAGTTCCAAAAAACACTGTCGATTTGCTTGTAACAGCAGCAGCACTGACATGCACCGGTTACGTGCCAGGCACTATTTCACATGCTTCACACACTGTGACAAGCACTGCCAGTGCTCTCTCCCAGTATCTATTCTCTTTCTTTCTCAGCAGAAGAGACCCTGGGTATTAGTGAAACACAAGGCTCCCGGAATGGAGACTAAACTCTTGCATGGCACAGGGGACTGCAGTGTCGATGAACAAATGTCAGTTGAAGCATGTCTCCTCCAGAAGACAACAAGGAACGCTCACTACTGTGTTAATTTTCTCTATAAAGTGAACTCGAGGATCTGAGCTCCTTTTGCTTCATATTAAATCTCACTTTTTTTGACAGGGAGTCTCACTTTGTCGCCCAGGCTGGAGTGCAGTGGCATGATCTCAGCTCACTGCAACCTCCACCTGCTGGGTTCCCCTGCCTCTGCCTCCCGAGTACCTGGGACTACAGGCGCCTGCCACCACGCCCAACTAATTTTTTGTATTTTTAGTAGAGACAGGGTTTCACTGTGTTGGCCAGGATGGTCTCGAACTCCTGGTCTCAAGTGATCCGCTTGCCTCAGCCTCCCAAAGTGTTGGGATTACAGGCGTGAGCCACCGCACCCGGCCAAAACCTCACTTTTTAGAGCCCAGATTTGATCTTATGTATACACATACACAATCACGTTTAGTTTCCAACAAAGTGCAGGCCCCAACTAACAAAACTAAGCAACATCGACCACTGGAATAAAGCAACTGTCTGTCTCCTTAGTGTCTGAGACACTTACCCTGGGAAGTGACCAGATCAGAGTTTTGGGTTTTTTATTTTAAATCAGTCTGATTAAGATAGCTGACTGTTGGCAAACTGTTTAGCTTTTCTGTGCCTCAACTCTAGTTTCTGTCCCATGGAAGGAACCTGTGAAACGGCTGGTGGTTAACAAATTAACCCCAAACCCAGTGGCAAAAACAGCAAACATTCATCTCACATATTCCTGTGGGTGGGAATCTGGGAGTAGTTTTCGCCAGGTGGTTCTCAGGGCCTCTCAGGAGTCAGCTGGGGCTGCACTCATCTGAAGGCTTGACTGAGGCTGCAGCTTCCGTTTCTAAGCTCGCTCATGTCATCACGGCGGGAGGCTTTGGTTCACTGCCACGCAGGCCTCTCCTGCACGGGACTGTTTGTGACATGGCAGCTGGCTTTCCCCAGAGGGAATGACCCAAGAGAGCACGAGGGGCACCCAGCACAGAAGCTGCAGCGTCTGGTATAACCTGCTTATGAAAGTGACATACCGTCACGCTGCCACATCCCACTCGACACAGAGACCAGCTCTGGGAAATACAGGAGGGTGTGAAGGCAGAGACCATGGGGGCCATCTTGGAGCCTGGCTACCACGGATGGGACGTGATCAGATGGGAAAATGTCTGGGACGAGGGCCACCCTCCATCTCCTGCCAATACCCATGCCAGGGCACCATGTGAGATGGGAGTAGAGAAAGTAAAAACACCTGGAGAGTGACATTTCCCTGGGCTACAACAGCTTCATAGAAATATCCTGGCAGGTATCTAATTCCCAATGCCTCCTTTCCATGCCACCCAGCAACCTGGAACTTCCTCACCACATCGATCCCTCCCAAGGTGGGAAGTGAGTGCCCGCTGTCAGGTTAGGTGTGGTTTGGGGGCTAGGAATACCTTCTTCCTGCACACAAATGAACAAGTGTCTCGGATTTTTGTAAACTTCTGAATTTAGGTACCAGAACATCAGTCCCGTGAATGGATTGATACTCCGTTCCTGCACCTCCAGCTGAGGCTCCCTCTTCCCGCGCCTGTCTCCCTCCAGAGGTGCATGTGAGCCTCACTTAGGTGATGATGAGGGTAAGCCAAGTACTGGGACAGGGGTAATGTGGTCAGGCTGAGGAAATGGAGGGAAGTGCCCTGAAGGCAGTTCAGGGGCTGAGTGGTGCCCTCACGTTACTGGAAATGGCACAGGAAGCGATGGTACTGAGGCCATCCCTGGGCAAAGACCAACCCGAGGACCTTGGTCTGGGGCCCCATATAAATAAGGGTTCTTAGATTTTCTGCATGCTCCAGCATCTCCACCTTTCAAGCAGATGCCCAGCTTTCTGCCAAGCCCAGTCTCTGACAGGGATCCCCTCCTTCCAGGCTGTGAGTGGGGTCAGGTCACCATCAGCTCTAAGACAGGTGTAGGGGGAGCCCCACCCTGGCGAGAGTCGTGCGGTGTCCCACTGGATGCCGCCTGTCTGATCGGGGAGCACACAGCCAGGGCCAGCCTCCTGCTGATGCCGGTGGGCTGGGCTCCCTCCTGCTTCTCGACCCCTCCCTGCTCATCAGCCTGGCATCCGGTCCAGGCATGTACAAGTGCAGCATGTTCAAAGCACTTAGGCTGATACCTGCCAACATAGATTTACCACATGAAATGGTCCAGATTTGACCTGAGAACGTCAACACTGATACTTCAAGGAAACTTCCAACCAGGACCTCTCCCACTAGCAGAGGCTGAGCCCACCCCTCGCCCCTCCCGTTCCAGGCCTGGCCGACAGCTGCGTGCAGTAAGAGGGGTGGCGGACCCATCCCAGTCCATCTTCCTGGATCACCTGCAGCGCTGACAGCCCACGTGAGAAGCTGACATTGGGTCTTCTACTCTCAACATCCCGGAGTCCAGACAGAAGCCCCCACATGAGTCTGCAGATGCTGCTGCTGAGGTTAAGTGTCGGGAAGCATGGGCGTTCTCAGTGCTGAGGCCTCTCAGCTCTCCCTGGGGAATATGCTTCTGCCCCCAAGAGCCCTCCAGCATAGCTTTCTGCTCCATCACCCACTGTCTGCATTCTGACTCAAAGTGTGGGCACTAGGAAGACCGTGAGTCAAAAAAGCACGAAGCACTAATATTGAAAGGAACTGTAGATATCAGAGCAGAGAGAAAGAGAACATGAATCAATACATGTGATTTTATTGACCAGCAAGGAGCCAGCTCCGTGGTGAAGAATGATGTTGGCTGTATGGCCTGCTGTCGTGTTTTAGCTGAAAAGGCAAATGGCTCGCGTGCCAGGGATGAGAAAGAGGCAGGTTCCCCAGCGCCACAAACTCTCCTCAATGCTGGGCGCGGGCTTCCTCCCATGTTCTCCGAGATTCTGAACCCTGCACCCAGGACCGCAGTGCCACCTCACAGCATCACTGCCACCTACTCTCCTTGGGGTTCTCATCTGAAGAGCTTTCTTGGTGTCTGAGAGAATCAATGACTTTCCTCGTTTTTCCCCAACTGTGTAATCAAAAAGGCTCTCATTCTGAACCTACTCTCAACTGGCTCTAGGCTGGTTCTCTTGGAAACATTCTGGAAATCTGAACTCTGACAGCAAGCGGCTTGCCTTCCTCTGATTTTCATTACGCCGGTGACCACTGTGCTGCTAGAATTTTTTAAAACCAGGATGTGCCTGAGAACCAAATGAACACGAGAGGTTGGCAGAGCAAACCACGGTGCCCTCAGGCCTTGGTGAGGAGCAATTAGTCACAAGTTTTTGTGCAGCACTCTGGGAACTGAAGCTGGTAGCTCAATTCACTACAGGTGCAAGTCACAACTCACAAGACAGGCCCATCAGTCAGTAATGTTGACTCAGCACCAACAGAAAGGCAGTGTCTGATGCTTAGAATGACAAAGTAGCAGATTAGACTCAGCACTTAAAGCACCACCAGCAGAACAAGATACGAGAAATACACAGGAAAAAAAATATGAGCAAACTTCCAGGACTATACCGCCAACCAAGCAGCCAGCCCATCAATGAATCAATCAATAATATCCAACGGTAACCGACACCAGCCCAGTGCTCAGCACCAAGCAGGCTGAGTCAAGTGTAGAACAGGCCTTGCTCACGTCCAGGCAGGTCAAGGTCTGGGGCATTCCAGAGCACCACGCCTCCCTGTGGAGCTTCTCTTCAGGCAGACCCTCCCTCCCTTCCTGCAGGGCTTTTCCGGTGCCGAGCCTCCCTGCGGTGGGAATGAATTCAATTCAGGCCAAGGCGCTCATCTACCGGTCAGACTTCCCCATCCAGTCCGAGAAAAGGAAAGCAAGGGAAAGAGTCCGAGGAAGTAACACACCAGGATGAGGGTGCAACGTCAGGGACTGGAGGAAGACAAGAGAATTGACATAACATATAATGGATGATGGGGACGGGGGAGTGCGAGGATTGGGGGCTCAGGGTAGGGGGCTCGGCTGGTGCAATTATGGCATCAACTGTGTATCACAGATTGACACCCTCAGCTGCTGCCATGCACACTGGCCAGGACACACATTCCCTCCCCACCTGGGCTCATTCTTGGCTCTGGGCTATACACAATTTCATGGTGCTGACCATAGAGGGGCTGGCAAGGAACTGTGGATGAAGCAATGAAAATCCATCAATCAAAGCAACATCATTTCTCTCACCTTATCACTTCGTTGGTCAACAGCCTGCAATGACTCCCCACTGCCACCTACAATAATATGTTGTATCTTCTTATAGAACTATGTAGAATATAATGTGTACTGTTCTTGTAGTTCCCAGATGTTCCAGGTGTGACTTGATCTGGGCTTATGTTTCCCAGTGTCTTGCTCTACTTGTTGAGACTATCCCTTGCTTGAGTTATTCTTACTGTGTTGCCCACAGGCCAGGCTCTTGCTGCTGGGAGCTTGTGGTCCCATTCCTGCCTCAGCCTCAGTGCCCTGCACCTCTCTGCCTGTCCCGCTGTAAGCACCTTCCCGGACCAAGCTCAATCCCAACGTTTCTCTGCAGCCTCTGCCTTTTGCAGGATCCTGCTTTGTCTAAATGCTCTCTCCACTTGGGTCTTCACTTCCCCTCTCAGCATCTGGCAGTGCACTCAGTTCACTGTTCTCTCTTCCATGCTTTTCACCCTTTCTCTCCAATTAGATGACAAACTTCTTACGGTGGCCTTGTCCCCTGTGCCAGCTGCCTCCACCGCCACCCACACACCAGAAACTTCCACATCACCAAGCTCTAAGAGCACAGAAGACACCTGGTCAACGTTTAACAACTGAAAATCAATCCCACCGACTACAGATTGCTCTAAGGAAAAGACATCACATGACCATCAATATTATTTCATTTATCTGCATAGTCTCCTATGATGTGGGCAGCTCAGAGACCATGGTATTATCTACCAATCCTCTTGTTTGACTTGCATATGAGGAAACTGAAGCTCAAAGAGGACAGGGATTCCCCAAAGGTCAAACAACTCAAGATCCTAAGTCTCCTGCTTTCTAACTGAATTCACTGCACCCTGCTGTGGCCAATGGAACAAGCCCAATCCGTGCACACGCAGCAACAGGGAGCTCCAAGAATGAGAAGACAAGAACGAACCATTGTGATGTCTGGTCGTTCCTGCTGTTACACATCCTATGAAGGAATCAGAGAGGTCCAGGTTATTCTCCCCATCATTCCAGTTCGTTTTTACTAAGGAAATAAGCCGTCTCAGACAAAAGATGTCCCTCTCTGGTTCCAACGCCTCTCATAATTGTGAACTCCAGCCATCTAGTTAGGAATCTCCTTGGAGGAGTTTTATAGCTTCTCTTAAAGAAGTTGCTCTTGATTTATGGTGATCACGTCTGACAGCCACCGTTTCTCTTAATAATAATCATAAATAAGCAAGACAAGGTCACCTAACCTGAAACGAGCACGTCTCCACTGCCACATCCATCATGGAGCCTGGATCTACAGCAGCTCATGACAAAGGTCTTCTCTTGGCACTCCACGTGAAATCCCATTTCTAGCACCTGCCCTGGCATTTTAATTTTACACCGTTTTCCTCCAATAGCCTCACCTAACCAGAGACTCCTAGAGGACAGCATTTACGAAAGCACTTAGCCCAGATCAAGGGCATACGCGGAGCCTGCTGCCTGCTCGTCAAGCAGTTTTTTTTCTTCCTCTTCACTCCAGTGTAACCGCCAAACCAAAAAATAAAAGTCTTGGAAAAAAAAAAAAAACCTGTGAAAGCCACGGACATAATGAAATGGACTGGTAGAAACAAGACAGTAAATTTGAGTGCATGAAAGCACTGTGGGACACTGAAACATACGTGGCCATGTGGCCACCCATCGTCTGGACTTTGAAGACCAAGCCTGCGTGGATTAGAATAACAAGTGTTCATTAACCAGGTACTGGGAAGGCCGGCAGCTGCTTTCCTGCTTGTTATTTTTACTACTATCAATACGTTTCAAGCCCTTGGCCCTGGCCATAAGACACAGCAGCCGCTACGTTACATGGAATGGCTCTGCCTTTTCGACTTGTCTTAAATGGGGTTCTGCTCCAAGTGCTGTCTCTGCGATGGAGGGGTGAAGTGAAGCCGAGTCAAAGAGCATCGAAGACTGAAGCATACCCCACCTGGCAAATAATAGACGTCAAGGTACTGACAGCCATGATGATTCCCTACCATGCTTACAGCCTAACATCCCCATGGCCAAGCTCTGTCATCTGTGATGAGGTGAGCAGATGGGGCTGTCCATATCATAAAACTACATCTGCATACCTCCATGGTCCCTTCAGGTGGATTTCTTTGATTCTAGGAAGATGAATGTTTTATAATGTTCACTGACCACAGCCCTTACATTTGGGTTGGAACATTCCAGAGTTTGTGCTCGTCTGTGATGGGAGAACAGGAAGAAGCCACCCCATGACTGACAGAACAAGCCTGTGGGGCAGTTGCTGGAGCAGTAGGAAAGGGGAGACCCTACATCTGTCACTCGCTCCATCTTTTACTTCCAAAGATGCTGCGGGCACTGATCCCTGCAGGGACCTGGCTTCTGAGAGCGTGTGAAGAGCCTAGTGTTGCACAGAAGGGCAGTGAGAGGGCAGAGGACAGGCCAGGAGGGCAGGAACCCGGGCCGCCCTGGCTTCAGCCAAGCCATAGAATTGCATGTGGGGCTCTGCGTAAGTTTCATTTCGTTTTTTTAAGCCCTTAGACTAAAGAATGAGCAGGGGCAATTTCTTTGGAAGCCACTTAAGAGCAGAGATGATTCCAGGCAAAATTCTCAAGTAGCTTCAGTTGTTCTTGGTACCTTTTGCCTCTGTCTTTTTCTCTCCTTACCATCCTTTCATTTCACCTACCCCAAGACCTCCAGGGCCACCAGCTGTGACCTGGGTCCTCTTCTCCTTGCCCATCATAACTGACTGTCACGTGCCACCCAAAACTCTAATTAACAAGTCAGTGGGCTTTATATATTAGCTCTTCTGGAGTATGTGCCTTTTGATAGGAGATTCTTAAAAATGGCAAAGACTGCCTGGGTGTAGTGGCTCATGCCTGTAATCCCAGGACTTTGGGAGGCTGAGACGGGTGAATCACTTGAGGTCAAGAGTTTGAGACCAGCCTGGCCAACATGGTGAAACCTCGTCTCTACTCAAGATAGAAAAAGTAGCCAGACATGGTGGTGCATGCCTGTCATCCCAGCTACTCAGGAGGCTGAAGCAGGAGAATCGCTTGAACATGGGAAGCAGAGGTTGCAGTGAGGCAAGATCACACCATCGCACTCCAGCCTGGGCGATAGAGTGAGTCTCTCTCTCTCTCTCAAAAAAAAAAAAGAGAAATGGCAAAGACTGTCTCCAAAATCATGCATTTCAGGTACCATGGTATGTGCGGTGTTGGTGGGGGGGAGGGGCACGGCAGCCCCTGTGGCAGGTGTGCAAACGTGACTGTCCACAAGTATGTTTGGGGTGGAGGTGGAGGAAGGGCCTCGACCATTGCACTTTCAAAGGGACAAACTGTGCATTATCCACATCACTGAGAGAGGCTGCCAGAGTCTTGGAGGCCACCAACCTCACACAAGGGGCATCTGAAGCCACTAGGTCATGAGGGTGGGTGCCCTCACCTGATCCCTCAACAGGCGCTGAACAGTCCACAGGATCCTTGGTTGTGGAGCAGAGGGGCACGGGGTGAGGGAACGGAAGGCAGAAGAGCCAGGCTTCCCTCATAGCGAGCAGGTGTGGGTCACGCTGCCGTGTGCATCAGGGCCCCCGCCTTTCCACCCTGCTGAGCACCAAGGGATTCACGGTCCTAAGGCTGATGACGGCACTCAGTCGGGCAGTTTCTCACAGAGGAACCCTCCGCGGTGATGTCCTGGTGGAGCCCTGCAGGGTGCCGGGCCGTGGGAAAGGAGAGGCCAGGCCTGGACGCCCTCTCCCCACGGGCACGGGACAGCCTGGCAGTGGGGTTCGGGCAGCTCGCCCACCCGCCTCCTTCCTCACCCGCGTCCCTATGCCCAGCCGCCTACCTGGATTGGAACGTTTCTTCGGAGCCTTGAGGCTCCGGCACCTGCCGCCCACGGAGCTGCTGTTCTCGCTCGTGGAGTCCTGCGCCGAGGACGCGCTGCCGGTGGCCTCGCTGTCCCGCATCATGCTCTCGTAGCCGCTGCTGCCGCCGCTGTGGTAGAACAGGGCCGTCTTCCCCATGGCCGGCGGGAGCTCCCCGCTCAGCACGCTGCTGTTGTCGCTGCCGTGGCCGCTGCTGCAGCGGTGGGGCCTCCGCGGGGGCGTGATCTTGCTGTAGGGCGACGGGAGCAGGTGCGCGGCCGCGGGCTTGTCCTCAGCCAGGGCCGCCCCGCGCTCCTCGGCCTCGGCCCCGGCCCCGGCCCGCAGCTGCAAGCCCCGGGCGCCCGCGCTACCCTGTAGCAGCTCCGAGATGCGCCCATTGACGGCCCGCAGAGGAAGCTTGGAGGCCAGGCCTGAGCTCCGGTTCCTGCTGAGGGACTGCGTGGACCAGGACATGTGCTTCCCGCCGGGGGGCAAGCTGGAGCTCTGGCCCACCGCCTGCGGCAGGGACTTGGTGGAGAAGCTGAGGGTTTTGGTGGTGGAGGTGGACAGGCTGCGCGCCTTGGGGCTGGTCAGGAGGAGCTTGCTCACGGCGGAGATCTTGGACTGGCTGGCCTTGGGGGAGGCCCCCGAGCTGGGGGGCGAGGTCCCGGCGCTGCGGCCCAGGCTCCTCCCCGCGCGGGGCATGGTGCTGTCCTTGCCTGCGTGCAGCCGGGAGCTCACGGAGGACAGGCTCTCGGCCCGCTCCAGGGAGAGGCATTCGTAGTGGCTGACCGTCGCCCTGCCCAGCGAGTTGGTTCTGCTGGCCAGCTGCTCCAGCTTGGCACTGAAGAGCTTGCTGCTGCTGCTGCTGGCGTCCTTCGTCTTGCCGCCAGGCTCATCTGGGAGGCCCGCCAGGAAGGCGGCTGGTTGGTTCAGGGGGCTGCTGGTGCCGCTGCTGCTGGCACTGTGCTGAGGGCTGGCCCGGTTCTTCTGGTCCAGGCTGGACTTTCGGACAGGGGGCAACGGGGGAGTCCCTTTGGGCCGAGCCAGGACACAGTGCTTGGGGGAAGCCACCTTCCTCTCCAGGGTAGCCTTGGAGGGCTGGGCGCCCGAGGCTGCACCCACCCCGTTGGTCTCGGCAGCGCAGTAGTAGAAGAGGCTGTCGGGCTCCTCCTGCCGGCTGGCCTTCTGAAACGCCCTGGGAAGGCTGCTGGACTTGACGCTTTTGTTGGGATGCATGGGGCTCTGGGTGGCCAAACCAGGCAGGGCCATCTCACACCCGTCCACGACCCTCCTGAAGTTGTCAGTGACGGGGGAGGCCGACACCTCCCCGCTGCTGCTGCTGAGCCTGTCGCCCGGGCTGGGCTTTCTGTCCTGCTCCTGCTCAGCTCTGGTCTCCGCGTTCGAGGGGCCCGTGGCAGTCTCACACCTAATCCCTTCTTCGCTGGGATGAGCATTCTCTTTTTTTACTTCCTCTTCTCTTTTCAGCCAGGGGTCCTCAAATGTCATCTCTTTCTTGCTACTGTTTTCCTTACTCTCCTGGGACTGGGCTAATGTGGGGCCTGCTTTGGGGGTGGCAGTGGGGGCCTCGGGCTCTTGGACGTTCCGGGGACTCACGGCAATGCAGGGGTAAACCGTGATGTTGGTCTTCATGGGGATGTACCCCTCGCAGCTGCTCAGATTCGCCGTGTTGGAGATGGTGACCATGGCCTTGCCCAGGGTGGATATTTTGCAGCCTTTGATGAGGGTTGCTTTGTTGAAAGAGTCATCTCCCGTCACAGACGGGATGAGCAAGTTGTCGGGGCTGGCCTTGGGCCTCTCTCTGCACACCACAGCGGTGTTCTGGATGCCGCTGACGAACTCCGAGGACGCGGGTTCTGCCATTGCCTCCCCGTGCCCAAAACACGTCTGGGCTATGAAACTGTGGCACGACTGCTCCCCCTCACTGCCCGCACTCATCTCGCTCAGCCAGGAGCTGATGGAAGAGCGTCTGCTCCCTGCCTCCTGGGCCTTCTCCTCCAGGCTCATCTTCGGGAGGGGCAAGAACTGTGTGATGCTGACCTCGGAGACGGGGGCCATGCCGGAGTAGCACTCCAGGTCCTCGCTGATGCTGCTGATGATGCTGACGGGCCGCGAGCCCGAGGCCAGGGCCTGCACAGAGCAGTCGCTGTTGAAGCTGATGATGCTGGCGGGGCGGCCGCTGTCCAGGACCCCGCTGATGGTCAGCTCCTCCACCAGCGTGAACACCAGCTCGTCCTCACCGTTCAGCTCCAGCGGCTGCTGCACCGTCACCATCGTGGTGCTCAGGATCTCCTTCTTGGACTCTGGAGGGGTAGCTGCCTGCTGCTCATCATCGACAGGAGTTTCCGGGAACCCTTCGCTCCCAGCAGACATGGATTTTTTCAAAACCTGGGGGCTCATTCCAACCGGGGGCGTACGCACCTCGGGCTGCAGCAAGGACTCACTAGACGCCACGCCAGAATCCTTGCCCGAGGAAGGCAGCGGGGCGGGAGATGGTAGGACCCCCTTCTGGGTGTAGACTTTGCATCTCTGGGAAGGAGAGCCGGGTGGCTTGTACTCCGAGGTCTTGGACAGGCTGGCGATGCCCAGCCTGGGGGAGCCCATGGGCCTGGGTTTGCCTTCCACGAAGCCGCAGGAGTTCAGGCTCTCCCGGCTGCTCTGGAGGCTGCGGCTCTGCACGAGCGGAGAGGCGCTCTGCTGGCTGCTGCTGCCTGGGATGCTCCTGGGCGAGGCCGGGCTGGGGCTATGGGCGGGTGCTGTGGTGGGCACAGGTGAGTGACTCCTCTGCATCTTGGAGGCTGGGATTTCTGGGCCTTCTCTGTCGGTCCGCTGACCTTCGGACCCATTATCTTCCTTATCAGACTCAGAGAGTGGGCTTGCCCCAGCTGCTTGGCTTAACGGGGGGCCTCTGCTTGCCTGCTCCGGCCCACACTGAGCAGGCAGTTCTTCAAAAGAAAACCTGCTGGGCTCCTCGCTGCCGTCGATGCAGTCCAGCCTCTCCTGCAGCTCAGCGAACGTGTTGCACTTCAGGCAGTCCCTTTCTGACTTGCTGGCTGCAGGCTCTCCTCCCTCTGCAGGCCGGCTGTCGCCCCGGGTCTTCTGCAGGGCTGGCACGATAGGGACAAAGTCTGGGGGTCCCTCGTTGTCGGTGAGCTCCTTGTCAGAGAGGGCCGTGCCGTTGGGCCCGATGTAGATGACGGTGTCGCAGGACTGCTCGCTGCTGGAGGAGTAGTCGGGGTCGCTGGACAGGTGAGCGATGGGGAAGTCGGGGTCCACCGTGGCCCTGGTGTGGAAGGGTCTCAGCTGGGTGGGCCTGCGCATGCGGCCTTCTTCACAGGAGCTCTCCCCGCCGGAGGAGCTGGATGTGTACTGTGAGAGAGCGAGCAGTTAACGTGGCGACCCTGTCATGGCAGTTTCCCCGGGAGCCCAGCTGTGTGCGGCAGGTGGTGGAGGCCCCTGACTGGACGCGGGCTACTGACGGCCACCCTGGTTGACCTCCCACATGTGGGCCACTCAGGGGGTGCCATGCCAGCGTGCCCAGTCTCACATCACCGCTGCATTTGGGAAGGGGAAGCCCTGTGTGGCACACTGGGGAAGCAGAAGCTGCTCAGGAAAGGAGGTGACCATCCAGGCCCCGCCTCACCAGCTAAGGGCTGCTGGGTCACCAGTGTTTGGCACCCTGTGCCATGGAACACTGGTTAGGAAGCACTATTTGAAGATAAAAAAGGTACAAAACGGAGAAGGAGAAAAACAGGCCCCCACATCAGCAGCTGCCCCTGCCACTGAGTGGCCGCGATCACGACAGTTTCCTCAAATACTGGTCACCCTGCCACTGTCCTGGCTTGGCCTCCGCCTGAGAAAATGAGCCCAGTGATTTCTAGCAGACTCGGTATCATCCAGGAACCACTGACTGCCAGGACACAAGCAGCAGCCAGGGAATGACTCCTGGACATGCAGCAGGGGAGAGGCCCTGAGAGCAGGGAGCTGAGAATACTCTGGCGCCAACCCTGTGAGGGACACAGTCTCCATCTACACAGGACCAAGGCAGTGCATGAGAAACACAGTATTTTCCATCCCTCCAGTGTTTTTCCTCTTGAGGTAGCAATCCATTTATAATCTAAAAGCGGACCAAGTGCTTCCGGTCAGGGGTCCAGGCTGGGTGACCGGGGCCAGCACCAGGTGTGGGGAGGGGACATGACTTTGTATCAGCCCCAAGGTTTCCCTGCCCCAAAGTGGACCCTGAGCCACGTGCTGTCAGCTCCAAGTCGCATCTCCTGATGCTGGGGGATTGGCAACATTGATTTGGCTTTTTCTGACTCCGTTCCAGGGCACAGCTCCAAAGACTCCCTCATCCACCACACCCCGCTGTGACTCCTTACCTTCGTCTTCTTTTTCTTCATCCTCAAGACTCGCGATGCAATCTGGATGGTGGACAGGGTCTCTGCGTAGCTCCCGGCCGCGGCCGAGATGTGTGCGATCATGGTGGTACGGCAGTTCATGTTCCCCAGAGACTCCCGCAGCAACATGGCGAGCTTGCTCTCTCTGCCAAACAAAGTGAATTAGGCTGCATTAGCGGCCCTGCTTCCCTGTGGTCCTCAGGGCAGGGCTTCAGGCCTGCACATGGCCATTTTGTTGTGGGTGGTGGTCCCCCCCTTTTTAATGGCATACTAATTAGCATCGTTTTCCAGCATGGGGCCATTTGTAGTTGGCAAGCACTGAGCAAGTGCTTCTAACTCCAGGATGGGATTCATGCAAAGCACCTCCCTTGGCGCTTCTGTCCTGGCTGTGATGGGTGTTCCTGTGCGTGTGTGTCTATGACATTACACATAATGAGGCCTGGGAATAGAAACGAGAGGAGGGGATCTGGAGAAACAGCTCTGTGACTGGTGACTCGGCATGCTAACTGCACGTGTGGCCTTTCTCCAGGGTTCCCACACACTTCCCACACAAAAAGGAGTCTCCCTACCAGGGGCCTGGATTGAAGATCTATGGGTTTTTAACAACTGCACAGTTCCTTTAGCCAGGAAGCTGTGGCCACTTTATTGGCATTGTCCCTTAACTCGCATATTTGCACCTAGGAGCAGTGAAGGAAAAGGCATTCCTATTCCTGAAGACCAGGGGAGAAACAGAGAGAGAGGCCCAGCCAGTCACTCAATCCACAACAGAAAGCAGCACTTTCCTATGGAAAGGCTTCCTCTGGGGACTCTGCAGGTGCTGTGTGGGGCCACTGCCCTGAGTGGTGATAATGAGGCCCTGGGGTTTGCAGGGAGCGTTGCTAAGTCTTTGAACTGACCTGGAGAAATGGTTGTTTTTCTATTCCTATACTCGTCCCAACATTTTTCCTGCCTTGCCTTTAAAGGCCTCTGCTTATTTCATCATCAGCACTCGTTCTCTCAACTGCTGCCAAATGTCATTGCATCTCTGGCATGTTCCCTGATCCTGAAGGATGAGGAAGCCTACTTCCCATGCCGCGTGCTCATATCTCTATGCTGTGTCTGTGATGCCAGATGAGAGGAATTTGTCCGATGTCCATGTCTCATCATCCAGCCCCTGCAAAGCTCCCTGGAGAGGGACGATCCAGCTCAGCAGACACTGAGGGAGACTCAGGCCACTGTCAGCAGAGAGCAGACCACCTTACGTGACCTGCTTCTGGCCTCAGGGAGGGAAGACTGTGGGGTAAGAGCAATAGCTTTTCCTTCCCATTGGGGACCAATTAAGGTGTGAGTTTGGAGACGCTGGGCTCACTAAGGCTCAGTTCCAGAGCAATGTAAGAATATACCAGGGCTTCCCTTCCAGCAAAATGACCAGTGATGAAAGTGGTGAGGTACGGGGTATAGAGGAGGAGCAAGAGCTGTGAACATTTAAATCCCTTCAAAATGTTGTCTATCTAGCAGAAATTCATGGACAGCACACTCAACGAGGAAGCCAGACCCCATTCCTGGCATACATTTTTTGCAGAGACACTGCACCTGGATGCGTCTTGGGCTCTGTCTTCCATATGGGCAGTGGAGGGTGAGTTCTGCTCGGTTGGGTTGTGATCGTACAGTCAGGTCTTACATGAGTAGTGGAGGGTGAGTTCTGCTCGGTTGGGTTGTGATCATACAGTCAGGTCTTACATGAGTAGTGGAGGGTGAGTTCTGCTCGGTTGGGTTGTGTTCACACACAGTCAGGTCTTACGTGGGCAGTGGAGGGTGAGTTGTGCTCGGTTGGGTTGTGTTCATACACAGTCAGGTCTTACATGAGTAGTGGAGGGTGAGTTGTGCTCGGTTGGGTTGTGTTCATACAGAGTCATGTCTTGTTATTCATGGTAGCGGTGTTCCATAAAATATTTGTGAACACTGAATTTGTAAATACTGGGCCATTGTTCTTAGGGGAAATATAGTTTGGTGTAAAAGTAATTTTGGTTTTTGTCATTTCAATTACTTATTTTTTTTCTTTTTTTCCTAAGACGGACTCTTGCTCCGTCACCCAGGCTGAAGTGCAATGGCACGATCTCGGCTCACTGCAACCTCCGCCTCCCAGGTTCAGGTGATTCTCCTGCCTCAGCCTCTGGAGTAGCTGGGACTACAGGTGTGTGCCACCATGCCCAGCTAATTTTTTGTATTTTTAGTAGAGATGGAGTTTCACCCATGTTGGCCAGGCTGGTGTCGAACTCCTGACCACAGGTGATCTGCCCGCCTCGGCCTCCCAAAGTGCTAGGATTACAGGTATGAGCCACTGCGTCCGGCCCATTTCAATTACTTTTGCACCAACCTAATATATGGTTTAGGTTTCTGTGAACCTCTGATGATAAAAGTTTCTTCAATGGGTCAATACATAACCTTGTTAATAAGATGCTTTGTTTAATATGTTTCTTCAAAATAATGAATTATATTCAGTATTTCTCTAAAATAAAACACTAGCCAAGAAGGGTTTAATACTTTCCTGCCCTTTGGTAACATGATTAAATTTCTCTGGAGTCTAGCCTCACACCAATGCTATCTTACTTGCATTACACTTTCTCAACATCTGATGAATCCACACATTCAGTCACTTTTTATCTCTTCCATCACTTCCTCATGTACTATAGGTGTTACCTTAGCACTTTCCAGAGTGGTCCCACATACAGATGGGCTGAAGGCACATCTGCCTGTATCTCCACGTGACCCTGTGTAAGTCCCCAAGAAAACATACCAAAGACTGGCCGGGCCGCCGGTGGCTGCACGCCTGTAATCCTCAGCACTTTGGGAGGCTGAGTGGGGTGGTATCCCGTGAGGTCAGTGGATGAGACCTATCCTGGTACATAATGACAACCCCATCTCTACTGTAAAAATACAAAAAAATTAGCTGGCGTGTGTGGTGGCGCCTACAAGTTCCAGCTACTTGGAAGGCTGAGGCAGGAGAATGGAGTGGAACCCGGAGTGGAGCTTGAGTGAGCCAAGATTGTGCCACTGCACTCCAGCCTGGGGCAGAATGCAAGGAGCTCCGTGCTCAAAAAAAAGAAAAAGAAAAGAAAGGAAGGAAGATAGAAGGAGGAAGGAAAGGAAGGAAAGGAAAGGAATGAAAGGAAGAAGGAATGAAGGAAGGAGGAAGGGAAGGAAGGGAAGGAAGGAAGGAAGGAGGGAGGGAAAGAAAGGAAGGAAGGAGGAAAAGGAAGAGGAAGGAGGAAGGAAGAAGGAAGAGGAAGAAGGAAGAAAGAAGGGAGGGAAAGGAAAGGAAAGGAAGGAAGAAAGAAGGAAGGAAGGAAGGAAGGAAGAGGGAAGGAAGGAGGGAAGGAGGAAGGGAGAAGAAAGGAAGGAAGGAAATGGAGGGAAGAGAGAAGGAAAACCATACCAAACGACGCGGATAAAGGATGTAATGTAGTGACATCAAGCTGGCTGCCCTGTGCACTTCCTCTCCTTTTCTGGGTGTGCATATTTGATTCAGTTAACAAGAGACCCCATGACACTGTCGCCTCCTGCCTGAAAGAAGCATATCTAATACACATAAGATTTTTCTCCATAAGGCACATCACAGCCTTCTTGTGCTTAGGGACGCCTAAATAGACCATCAGCACCATTCTGTGGGGCTGTTTACAGCAAAATCGCCACCAGAGAGCACAAAAATATGAAAACCAGCACTAAAGGAGACTGCAAAAAGGACATGTGTGCACGGTATGAGAGCCGAACGTGAGGGCAGACCTTCGCACGCTCCATCTCGGCGGGGAACGCATGCATCTGGTGACTCAGTGTCTTCACCGCTCTGCCCCTGTCCGAGAATGACTGTGAAACCACTGCCTTGACTTTGGGGTTACAAGTACATTTCAGTGAGTAGGTGAATGTGCAAATACAGAATCTGCAAACGATGAGGACTGCCTGCGCCCTGAAGTTCCCCGTCGTCTTGTTAACCCACTGCAGGCAGCTGAAGGCACGTCCCCTGGGTCTCCGTGTGACATTCCCCAGGACGACAGACCAAAGACAGAACTGAGAGAGAACATGGCGATAGCAAACTGCCTGTCCTGTGTATTTCCGCGACTCCCCACGCGTGACTCGATCATATGGTAAAATGTTTACGGCGATTTTTTTTAAGTCTACACTGTGGAAAGAAGCAGCGCGTGTATGTTGCTTAGCAACCGGCATTTTAGCTCTCCTTGTGGAAGGCGAAGCGGTGGAGCTGCTGGTGGGCCCTTCACGCGGGCCTCTGCAGACTCTAAAAAACATCCTTTGGGGAGTAAAACATGGTGCACAGAAAGCCACAGCTTTCCCAACCCACGATGATCATTTAACGTGGAACAAAGACAACCAAGTAAGGGAGGCCAGGGGAGGGAGGGGCAGGGTACTAAAGGCTGCAAACTGTAGGAGGAACTCGGAATCTTTGGACGGAAAGAGACTGGTTCAAAAGAGTTTCCAGGGCAACGGTCAGCACAGACTTAGCCCACTCTTTGCATCAAGTCTGAAAAGAAAAGAGGGAGAAGAGTTCAGGGCCGCTGGCCACTCGCACCCCAGAGCCAGGCGGGAGGGATGGAGGAAGGTGGTGCCTGGAGGGGGCCGGGTGGGGAGGCCCTGGCTATGGAGGACAGGTTGAGCAGGCACAGGAAGGCACTGGGGACGCAGTGGAGCTGACAGGGGCCTGAGGAAGGACCGCGCTGCTCTTTGAAGTAGCTGTGTTTATGCATACATGTTTCACTTCCCGCCTACACTGACCACACTTGCCTTTGAAAATAACATTTATGCTGGGCACCGTGGCTCACGCCTGTAATCCCCACACTTTGGGAGGCTAAGGCCGGCAGATCACCTGAGATTGGGAGTTTGAGACCAGCCTGGCCAACATGGTGAAAAACCCCATCTCTACCAAAAATGAGTATGGTGGCGGGCGCCTGTAATCCCAGTTACTCAGGAGGCTGAGGCAGGAGAATCACCTGAACCCGGGAGGCAGAGGTTGGAGTGAGCCGAGATTGCACCACAGCACTCCAGCCTGGGTGACAGAGCAAGACCTTGTGTCGAAAACAAAAAACAACAGACTTTTAGAAAAATGTCTTTTTAAAATCAGTTAACACTTTTATTAAACAAGAAAAAGGACAAGAA